GAACAGAACGTGGAGACACTTCCAGGATTCCGAACAGAACGTGGAGACACTTCCAGGATTCCGAACAGAACGTGGAGACACTTCCAGGATTCTGAACAGAACGTGGAGACACTTCCAGGATTCTGAACAGAACGTGGAGACACTTCCAGGATTCCGTACAGAACGTGTCTCCGCATAGAATGTGGAGACACTTTTAGGATTCCAGATACTTCCAGGATTCCGAATAGAATGTGGAGACACTTCCAGGATTTCATATAAAATGTGGAGACACATTCAGGATTCCAAATAGAACTTGGAGACACTTTCAGGATTCCAGAGAGAACGTGGAGACACTTCCAGGATTCCAGAGAGAACGTGGACACACTTCCAGGATTCCAGAGAGAACGTGGACACACTTCCAAGATTCCAGAGAGAACGTGGACACACTTCCAGGATTCCAGAGAGAACGTGGATACACTTCCCAGGTTCCGAATAGAACGTGGCGACACTTCCAGGACTCCGAATAGAACGTGACGACACTTGCAGGATACTTAATAAAATGTGGAGACACTTCCAGCATTCCAAATGGAGTGTTAAGAAAAAGAACCTTTGTGACCACAATACAGCTTTATAAGTCCAAATGTAAAACGCCCCCTGCTGTGGGAACGTTAATTAACAAGCAGCAGCAGAGAGCTTGGACTGTGCAACTGTGTGTGTTCCTAGTTCTCAGACCCCCTGTCCACCAGAAACATTAGTCACACAACTATTGTCAGGCTGACTCATACAAACGCTGCTAAACTCAGGCTGGGCACTTAAGCTTTAAAAAGCCCCGGCCATGAAAGGGTTAAACTAATAGGCTCTGACATGTTCTCATCGCGCTTGTCACCTCGGATGATGTGTGGGGGTAAGTGAGACACAGAAAGGGGGGCAGATGGCTTTTCCTGCAAGCTGAAGGGACCTTTAGAGCGCCATGACCCTGGAAAAGATCCTGCAAGCTGCCAGGCAGGGCGACCTGGAGAGCCTGAGGAAGCTTCATGCCGAGGGCCAGCTGCAGCCAGGTCTCAAGGATCCTATGGGAGCCTCTGTAGTCCATCACGCCGCCCGCGGAGGGAAGGTGGGCTGCCTGCGCTACTTGGTGGACGAAGTGCAACTGGAAGGCGCAGGCAGAGCCAGGAACGGGGCAACGCCAGCGCACGACGCGGCCGCAACGGGCAACCTGTCCTGCCTGCAATGGCTGCTCACCCAGGGAGGATGTGACTTTGAGGTAGGTGGTCTGGTTCTGTTCTGTACCTGGCTGGGTCACTTGCTGCGAAGTGGATCTGTCTTGTTTATTTTTCATTGACATATTTGTTTATACAATTTGTATTATGTAACATGCATTGCTTTATGTACTTCCGTTTGATGTTGTACAATGTAACGGAACTCTGTTGCTTCTAGTTACTTTAATCTTGATTATTCCCATTTTTTATTGAATCGTTTGTGATTGTCTGTGAAGAGATTTCATGCAGTCACAGGTGACATAATTAATGTGGATCTCTTACCTGCTAATGGCTCACCTGTGAATGCTTGGAGATCAGGACCTGTTGGGGGCCCATGCACAGCCTTGGTGTTCTGAAGCATGGGGCTAATGTGCAACAGACATGCACCATTTTTGGCATAGCAACATGCCACAATGCATGGCAGCGCATCATCATGCTTTGGGTGCTAAAATGCACGTGCGTTGGAGCTTCATTCTCCTTAGGGAGATGTACCACATCCCTCTATATATGCAGCAAAACATTTTACACTTTATATGGGACTTTTGAGGTACAAGCAAACTGATCCAAACAAAGACACAATTTATAAGATTATTATTATTTATAGAGATCTAACAATTTACGCAGCACTTTACATAGTGCACATTCACATCAGTCCCTGTCCTCAAGGAGCTTATGATCTAACATCCCTATTGCACATGCATACAGGGCCATTTTAGACAGGAGTCACTTTGCCTTTCAGCATGTCTTTGGAGTGTCAGAGGGAACCCATGCAAGCACAGGGAGCAAATGCAAACTCCTTGCAGATGGTCCCATGCAAGCACAGGGAGCAAACTCCTTGCAGATAGTGCCATGCAAGTACAAGGAGAACATGCAGGGTCCTATGGAGCTACCCTTGTGTGTGTGTCTACAAACACACAGCCACAAGGCATAGCAAGCTATTCCCCCCTCTCCTTCCTTCCCCAATCTAGCAGATGGGACAGCTACTGGAGATGGCCCTTTCCCTTGTGATCTTGTACTGGGCAGGAAGTTCAGGGAAGCTGAGCTGAGAGAGTTGGAGCTGTGTGGAAATGTGATGACTGTAAGTGCTTAAGCTAAATTGTAAAGACATACTTTGCCCACCACTGTATCCTCCTTTTCTCTTAGTGTATTACCCAACATATATATTATCCATATGTCAAGGTAAGTAATAATATGATGGTGGCCCAGAATTCCGTGACGCTTTTTGTGGAAATACTATTGGCTTCTTCAGGAGGACCAAACATAGATTTACCCATAGGAGACCAAATGCACGCCAACTCTAAGATGTAAAACTCAACCATCATTCTCAGTCATCCTCTCTGCAGTATACACACCCTCCCCCTATCTGACAAATATAGGTCACAGAGCTTTGAGCTACCATGCCTTAGTGGAGATGGGGTGCCATGCAAAATCAATGGCACTGCTATGTGCTAATCCAAGTATCATGCGTGCTACCACGGCATACCGCATCACAAAAGTGTGTTTCGACCCTTAGGTGTTGCAGGGAACCAGGCTAAAGAAACACTAGAATGAGAAAACCTTGCGGGATGCTGAGTATCTGGGTTGCCAATAAACAATCAAATCAACCCAACCCACTGCTTGCATCAGGGCTGAGGGCTCTTGAGAGGACCCCGAATGCTGCGCTGTGGCTGGATGGGTGTCACCCAGTGCGGCCACTGTGCATGCATTATGACGTACATGGTGTGAAGTCATCATGCATGCAAGGTGATGTACTTTACTGCTAGCAGCCATCTTGGTGATGGATGCCGGCAAAGAGAGTAGAGGATCAGGTATGCCGCCTGGTCTCCCCCCCCCACTGCAAAATATGACCTCCCCTTCCCCCCCATCCCCTCCAACCCATCCATTGGGGTTTGTTATTTTCTTCTTACCCAATTAAGCAAGTTATACTCACCTCTAGGTCCCTCGCTGGGGCTGTTCTTGGGTGCAGGGGGCACTAATCCAGCACTGTAGATGGTCCCTCACTGACTGATCCCCTTGTGATGGCATCACTCCTTATCACAGGGGTGATGTAGTTGCAGAAGGATCGTGCAGGAAGTAAGCAAAAAAACAGGGAAAACTCGGATCTGAGCATCTCCTGACCGCGGCTTTAGGCAAGTTAAAAGGGCAGTTAGAGCAGGGGTAGGCAACCACAGCACCCCAGCTGAGCCAAATCTCCATTACCTCTATGCCCCTGCCTTGGGGAGTCATGCCTGTGGCTGTCAGAGTCTTGCAATGCCTCATGGAACTTGTAGCGTCATCATAGCTGGCGTGCCAAGGTTACCAAACCCTGAGTTAGAGGGAGGTGGGAGGGGGGTTAGTATAATCCTGAAGAAGGGCTTTATTTTGAATGTCACCCCAATGCTCTAAGGGCTCATGCCCTCTGGTGTATTAAAATACTCCTATCTATGCTGGCAGAAAAAACATTCTATTGGGTAGAACAGGGTTGGGCAACCTCAGCACTACAGCTGTAGTGAAACTACAAATCCTATTATGCCTCTGACTTTGGGAGTCATACCTGTGACCAGTGGTGGCGAACCTTGGCACTCCAGCTGTTTTGGAACTACAAGTCCCATGAGGCATTGCAAGGCTCTGACAGCCACAGACATAACTCCCAGAGGCAGATGCATGTTGGGATTTGTAGTTTTGCCCACCCCGGGTTGGAGTATTCATTTATTCTAGCCACTGGAATGCATTTACATGCGCAGATTATGCCAGGACGCTTCTCTCTGAGTGCTCTTCCAAATGCCACATTGTGCCTGGACACATTGGTTGAAATAGAGTTTAGAGGCTTCAAAAAGAAAAATGCCTCTGCATGCGACATTTATTTTTCTGGCTCTGTACATGAGGCTTGTGGCAATGCAGCTGAAATACACATGCACTGCACACATCACAACACCGGGTAATGCACTACTGTGCATTTTGGTGTACTGCGTTAGAAAAAATGGTACATGTTTAGTTTTTTTTATGCCGGCCCACTCATTTGATTTGGCTGCCCTAATCTAACGCACTTTAACAGGGGAACAAATGCAAGTAACACACCAGGATGCCAAGGTGACAGGTCTCAATTTGCCTTTGGAGTTTCACCTGGGAGCAATGCTATGCCTATGGCTATGGTATGGCTCAGTTTATTAAAGGCCATTTTTGTTAATTGGCCCATTTATTTTTGATTTTACTGCCTTGTGGCCTTCACTACCAGAGGGCTGTTAGAAAAAGCATGGCCTGGACCTGCACTGAATACATTTCCACTGTGTTTGAGTGCTTAAAATTGATAAAAATCAGTATGTTGTGTTTTTTTAAAATTATTATTTAATAACGTGTGAAAGGGTATGAAGGTCTTTATTATGCAATGCGTGCACTGTCATTCCCACCTTTTGTTCAGGTGACTTTTGCCACCAAAATAGAAAGTCAGGAGAAATCCAAAAGTTTACAGTTGTCACCACAACAGGAGATCAGGGGAAATCGTCCACTGGGTACATCTGGTGAAAATGGTCACAGATGGGATTTCTCCCAATTGTCGTGTTCTGTTTTAATGTACATCTGCTTTTTAGCTTGCTTTTTAAACTAGAACTACCATTTTCTTTATATGCTCTGGTGCTGGACTGAGGAGGAAGTCAGGGCACCTCATTGGTTCTCTTCTTGTAGAACAATACTAACGTTATTCTGCCCATTCTCTACGGGGAACATTATCATGTGAGCTGGACTCGCAGTACTCAAGGACTGAATGGTGCTCACAGGTCATTTTGTGAGCTCCACTTATTCCTGAGTCCCACCACCACCGGAGGAAGAGGAAGCTCCCATGATGTCACTGGAACGAGTAGAAATTTTCAAAAATGTTTAAAATAATAAACACCAGGAGGGGCTTCGGTCAGTTGGAGGTAGGGGGTCGAAATGCTGGAGTTTCAAGACTGCAAATGCACAAACATGGTGCAGAATGCTTGCTAAAGAACCATATTTGTGTTTTTTTTTTTTTACAACTCTTCAAGGAGAATTCAACCTTTTAATGGTCTGTGACCTTACAATATCTTCTTCTTTACCAGTAAGCTATTCTATATTATAATGAAGGATGTGTTGTTTGTTGGTTGTTGTTGGTGTATGGGATTGTAGGTGTGTGCGGCTATACCTCCTATAGGTCAAACAGCAGTGCCTGTTTGTTTACCTTTGTGACATGCTAGTTCCAGTAACATATGTCGCGGCTGCAGTTAATCTGATCAATAATACATCGCCCTCTCTCATCAGCAAGTTCAGCACACCTGTGGCAGGTGGAAGGATTACTATATATAGCCTGCGATGGACAACTTTATCCTCTGTGTGGATTTAGCAGGCGAGCTTTGATACCTCCCATGCTGTTCACCGCCTGGGCATGACACTTTTTTTTTGGGTGATGTTAATAAAATCTCTAGTCATGAAAAATAGTAAGAAAAATAAAATGACAAAGTTCTACCTTCTGTGGGTTACACAAATTAATCCCATTATTGTTTTAGAGAAATGAAGAGCCCTTTCCGTGAATGGATCATATTTTTGGTGGTGTCCCCCATGTCCCATGTGATTTAAATCCTTGTTTTCTGTGTGTTTACCATCCCATCGGTGTGGAGAAGGATTTCTGGGTGTACTTCAGAACCTATAAAATCAATGCCAAAGTGCAATGCCAGTCTGAAGCCTCTAAAGCCAGCAGAATATGGTCTTTCTCATTGGTGTTGAATTTTACCAGTTGAGCGGCGGTTTGTAGATGTTCCACAGGCGATAGTGCTACTTCTTGAATGCCTGTTTTTTGTTCATCTATCCTAAGGTGGATTTTATATTGAAATGCCATGTAGCATGAATTCATTGGATGTATTTGGCAAGTGGTACTGCAAGCCAAACCTGACATGCCAAAGTAAAATTGCCACACTGTAAGCCACCCCACTTGCCACCATGTTAATGTGTAGGTAGGCAGCCAAAGGGGCAGTAAAAATAGGTAGTTGATCTGTGAAAGTGGCACCAAGTCAAG